AAAATAGCAAAATTCAAATGAAGTATAGACTTCAGTTAACAGTAATATACTCATGCAGGTTCCTTAATTGTGACAAATGTAACATAGAAATATCAGATATTAACAACAGGGGAGAAGTGGGCATTTAGCTAGTGGTGAGGGCACTCTTTTTGCATTTTTTTTCTCTGCTCCTCCCTGCCATGCCCACCCCAAGGGCACTCTTGCTGCACACTGAAGCGTCTTGGTCTAATGCCTCCTTGGGTAACACCAAGTAATGGCTCAAGTAAATGGTTCCCTGCCATTCACATGGGAGGCCGGGATTAACCTCTCAGCTTGGCCTAAGGCTGTTACAGGCCTTTGGGAAGCGAAGCAAATAATGGGAGTTTCTCTCTCTCCATCTCTGTTTCTGTCTCTCTCAGTTGGCAAATGAACCAACAGATGGAAGTGTGTCTCTCTTTACATTTTAAGTAATTTTTAAATATGGAAAACTGAGTTTTACATATATGCTAACTTTCTATAACATTTCTTTAAATCTAGATTATTAAGAAAAAGTTTATCTATTAATTAATGGGGAAATTACTGCTTTCAGCAGGAAACAGAAGACTCTGCTCTAAGCAGGAAGTCACTCAAATTTTGGACTAAAGCAAAATTGTGGCACTAATTTGTGTTCACACAAAGTTCATCTGGCTCTTGAAGTCCACAAAGTTTAAAGTAGTTTTAGGCAAATACAGCTATAGACACTACTGAAATACTTTCTGAGTCTCAGAAGAAGAATGTAACTATACATATTTTAAGAAAGTCCACTGAAAAGTTCACTACTGGGCTGGTGCGGTGGCACCGCAGGCTAAATCTCCACCCTATGGCACTGGCAACCCATTTAGGTGCCTGTTTGTATCCTGACTGCTACACTTCCCATCCAGTTCCCTACTTCTGGCCTGGGAAAGCAGCAGAGAATGGTCTTTAGGACCCTGCACCCATGCAGGAGACCCAGAGCTTCTAGTTAGCTTAGCATTGGTCATTGTGGTCATCTGGGGAGTGAAGCAGCAGATGGAAGACTTTCTCTATCTCACCTTCTCTCTGTAAAATCTGCCTTTTCAATAAAAATAAATAAATCTTTTTTTAAGTTTATTTATTATTAACAACATACTATAATGCAAAATTACAACTTGGGTACATATTGTCATCGTTCAATACATCTAGAAATGTCAAAAAACAAGCTTACATAATGTCAATTAACTATCTTGAAAATCCTTTTAAAAAAACTGTATGAACCTTAAAGATAGTTTAGGGGCCAAAGTTTTGGCATAACATTTAAGCTGTTGCCCGTAACACCAGATCTCATGGGGTACTGGTTTGGGTACCAGTTGCTCCACTTCCCATCCAACTCCTTGTTAATGTACCTTGGAAAGCAACAGAAATGGACTGAGTCTGTGGACACCAGCACTCATGTAGAGACCTGGAAGAAGCTCAGCAGACAGAAGATATCTGACTGTCTCTCTTCACCGCATCCCCGCCTGCCCAGCCCAAACCCCTGGTCACTCTGCCTTTCAAATAATAAATATTATAGGTACAGGTAAACCACTACAGGATAATCCAAAATACTAATAAACAAGATGAAGAGAAATAAGAGTAGGACAAAAATGAAATGTCAGTGCACACCATTTGGACTGTGCAAAATTGATGACATTAATTTTTGCAGCCATTTGGGGAGTGAACCAGATGAAGATCTGCCTCTCCCTCTCTCCCCATGTCACTATGCCTTTGAAATCAGTGAATAAATACTAAAATAAATACTTACAAATGTCTCATATACAAAACAGTATTACAAAAAATATAAAGAATCTTTATGCTTCTGGTATTTTTGAAAATAAAAACAGCTAAACTGTGTGACTAGCAGTGTTTGGCACCTGCATCCCATTCAGAAGTACCTTCCTGTCCAAGTTTCTCTGCTTCCATTTCAGCTTTGACTAATGGGCACCTGGAAGCCAGCAGATGACAGTTCGAGGATATGGGAGACTCAGATTGGGTTCCTGACTTCTGGCTTCAGCCCGGCCCAGTCCAGCAAGTTGCAGGCATTTGGGGACTGAACTAACATGTGCAAGCTCTGTCTCTGATTTATTTCTTTTGTTCAAGTAAAAATCAATACATAAAAACCCAAACTGCATGAGTTTGTACATGCATATATACTTTAACAAATATATAGAAAGTGCGCTTTTCTCTCTTGCTTACTACTTATTTGTGATTTTAAGTAGATAGAAGTAAAAAGGGAACTAAGTGTCAGATATTTTAAAAATAACAGTAACAACCACAGAGAAACACATATGCAGGTCTCTTAAATGTAAGGTTCCCCTAGCTACAAATAAGTACTGTTCCAACAATTTATTTGCAAACTGTCTGGAACTTAGAACATAATTTCCCATTAAGAATGTTAGGAAAGGGTATAAACACAAGGAAAAGGTACTGCCTGAGGTGGCAGGTTAATAGTATTAAAACAGAAAAAGTAGAACATACATATACTGATAGTACCAAAAAATAAAATAAAAATGCTCTCAGAGTTTAAGGACAGAAGTCATGTTTAGTTTACCTCTTTATCCTCATTGACTAGTAAAACACCTGGTACCTCATAAACATTCACAGGCCACTAACAGATGAAGTTACAAGGAAAAGACTGGAGAAGTCTATTGATAGGACAAAACAGACTGTTTTCTTAAAGTCCATGTATTTATTTACTGATAAGTGGAACAGCAGAGAGAAGGAAAGTCACAGAGAGAGAGAGAGAGAGAGAGAGAGAGAGAGAGAGAGAGAGAGACTGAGATATTTCTATTTGCTGATTCATTCCCCAAAGAGGTACAGCAATCAGGGCTGGAGCATGGAACCAGGAACTCCATCCTGTTTCCTCACATGCATGGCAAGGTCCCAGAACTTGGGCCTTCCGCTGCCTTCTTTAGTGCATTAGCAAGAAGCTAGATTAGGAAGCAGAGGAGAGATGCCTGCATGGCAAGAGGCAGCTTAGTCGGCTGTGCTACATTGTCTGGCCCCCAGAACAGTTTCAATGTAGAAAAGAGAAGCTGGAGAAAAGCAATGTGCATTCATATGCAACAGCCACATAACTGTTATAAGGTTGGTGTTAGTAATTAAGAGAATGTCTTCACCTACATTACCTGTTGTTTCCATTGTTGCGTATTTTAAATAAACACCATATGTGGCTCAATTTTGCTGACAATGAATCATATATAACATTGCTTTTCTATTAGATTTGTATGGAATTTTTCAGGATTTTTTTTCATACGATCCTTCAAAATATTTTATTTCAGTTTTGTAATTACAAAAGTAGCAGTAATAAGAAGGAAAGAAAAAACTAAGCACTATATGAAAATTACCCATTATCCTGTGATGATCCTGAGAACCTATTAATATTTTATTTCCTATTCAATTTTTGCCATTTACAAATAACATGCTACAAATAAGAACCCGGTATCTACTTCTTTATTTTCTGAGATTTTAATCAATATTATATTATACTTTCTCCTGTCAGTAAATATTTTTTAAAAACATACTTTTTAATAGCAACATCCCCCACAAAGAGTCCCACATAACAGCATATTTTGACTTAAAATTTTCTCACTCTGTAATAGCACACTACCTAAGTTAGCTACTTTTTTTTTTTCAAGTTAACTGCTTCTTAAATGTAAAGTTCTATACTGCTCTCTGAGAATTCAAAGTGGTAACTCTGACACTGTGTAATACAGTGTGGAATGCTTGATTCTCCCAACTCCCCCTCAAATTCTACTCAACAATAAACTATCAATCAATCTAGGGCATTAACAAAAAGCAAACAGGGGCAGGCATTTAGCTTCATGGCAAAGACATCAGTTAAGATGCCTGAATCGGAGTGCCTGGGTTTGATTTCTGGCTTGGCTTCATTCCAGCTTGCTGCTAATGCAAACTCTGGGAAGCAACAGTGATGGCAGAAGGGGCTGTGTTTCTGCCTCCCACCAGACTTGGTTTGCGTTCCTGGTGCCCAGGTTTGGCACTGCCCAGTCCCAGCCATTGCTGGCAAGTGGGGAATGCACTAGCAGATGGAAGTTTAATCTCTCTCTCTCTCTCTCTCTCTCTCTCCCTCTAGCTATCTTCTCAAATTTTTTTTTTTTAAATCACAAACTTTGTTTTGCTTTCTTTTTCTACCTCTGGTAGGAAGAAGGAAAGTCCCACTAAAACAGGTTCCTGACAACCAAACAGGCAAGAACAGTGAGTCAATTTTCCTGGTAGAGCCACTTTTGTTTTCCATTCACTATAATGCACCATCACTTTCAAAAGGATAGAAAAAAAGATTTATAATATGCCAAATGTCTCAATCTGTATCATTGCCTAAATTAGGTTTCCATAGTAAGTGGAATGCTTAGAGAAACCCCGAGAACAAAAGATCATGTAAGTAAGATCACTCAACGGGAATACAGTAAGGTTTTTGTCTACCACTTGGCCATTTTTATTATTTTTTGAATGAATAATAAATGTCATGTACCCTCTCCCCTTCTTTTAGCCTCCCAGTTATACCAAATATAATTCAAGTTGCTCAAAGCAGGACAACAATTCCAGGAACTTAAGAATCAATAACTGTTTAAACCGGTGGTAGTTCATGTGGAAAAGTTCACAACAAATCAGCATCAGACTACTAGCACTTCTGCACAAACAGAAAAGTCACACTGCTTCATCAGTTTTCAAAAATGTAAATTTGTGGATGCCAGTTTAAAGTTCCAGCCAAAATTGGCTCACATTTGTTCTCAAATACTGGCTGGGGTCAAGATCAACAAATCAACATCCCTAACAAGCACATGTTTACTAATATCACAGTCTGTGTGTACACATTCAAGAAGATTATGCGATATAGTTGACACGCATTGATGCCACTCTTACTGAGAACTGTGGTTCAAAGAGAAATCATGAAAATGAAGTAAAGCTTTCTAAAATGTCCGCTTCTACCCAAATTAAAATTCCCATAGAAGAAACCAACACAAGCTTACCATTATTCTAGGTTCAAACAGGGTTCAAGCAGCTCGGAAATTCTATATACTTTAGTTTTCAGGACCTGAATTCCAGGACTACTACTATAAAGATACACAGAATAACTTGTCCCAGAGTCCTGACTTATTATACAGATTGTGGGTCTCTAGGGACTCCTCTTTCAATAATCTCAAATGTATTTCAATAGATGAGGGTAACCTGGGCTACGCTGTTTACAGCTGTCTCCGCCTCCTTCCCTCGAGGAGAAGAGGTGGATCCGGGTAAGCAGAAAACAGAATGAACCTCTATCCACGCCCAATAACAGCCCGTCATCCAGCACGATTGGCTCTTTTACACTTGGGCTATTCTCTTCACTAACGTATGTAACACATGTTCAAGAATAGCATATTCACGGAGTAACACAATTTCTACCCTCATGGGTCTCCAGCTGGTTGACACGCGTTTTCTCCTCAAATAAACACATGCCTGTTGACCGATGCCTGTCTCGCTGTCGCCAACAAGAAATAACTGTCCTAGAAGACAAAACCTCTCTCTGAGGCTCCCAGGCACAACCATACGTTGGAGTTAGAAAGCGCACTGGAAGAACAACAAAAATCTCCCAGCACATCTGTCATTTAAAAACCATGATTATGAAAAGCTGTTGCTACGACCCAATTTTAGATCATAAGCCTTTTTTTTTTTCAATTTTCTCCTCCCCTCCAGAAAGCGATTAAACTTCCAAGGGAATGGTGGTCATCAAAAATCAGTCTCCTCTCTCTTCTCTTTAGCCCCCCACACTCCCTCCCCTGCGAATAAAGACTGAAAAAAAAAAATAAATAAAAACTGGCCGCTCGCAGGGCTCAGGCGAACGTGTGCCCGCGAGCCAGGGAGGACTCGGCTGACCACCAGAAGGAAAAGCGGCCTGGGGCGCCCGGACTCCCCGCCACCCCACTGCACCCCGCCCCGCCGCCTGTTTAAAATCCCAAGCAGGTGGGATTCCGGGAAGCCACCTCCGACTTACGTAACGCGGCTTGTCAAAACCCGGCTCCAGGACCTCCCCCGGCCCGCCCCCGCCCCCACCCCCAAACAACAAGCGCCCCAGGCCCGCCTCAAGAGCAAACCTGGAAGGAAAAAACATCGGAGCCCCCCGCGCGCCCGATGCTCCAGCACGGGTGCTCCTCTCAGCAACGCCGCTCCATTCCGGCGCGGAGCGGACCACCGAGCACCGCCGCTGTCCTTCTCGAAGGAAGCCCTCCCTCCCCATCCCCCGGTCCCCGGGCGGGAGGTCCGCGCCGCTAGCCTGAAGCTCCGGCCGCCCAGCCACCCAGCTCCCGCGCCCCTGATTGTCACCTCCCGGGGCCGTGACAGCTCCACATGCCACACCGCTATCCCGCGTGTCACCGCCCCCGCGCTCACCTCCCTTGCTGGCTCCTGGGCGGCCAGCGGGGCGCACTCGGAGAGCGGCGCCCGGTCCCCTCACGCGCGGCCGCGGGACACGAGGGGCTGAATACCGCGGCGCTAAGCCCGCTTAGCTCATCCCCAGCCCGGCGCTCCGCCCTGCGCGGCACCCCCGCCCGCCCAGGCCTGCCGTCTCAGTCAGACGGGACTCCCCCTCCCCTCGCGGTCGCCGAAGCCTCCGCCTCCTTCTCGGGCTCCAGCCGCGGCGGGCGCCGCCACCGGCGCCATCTTGATGGTGACGGAGAAGGCGAGGGGGGCGGGAACCGAGCCCCCAAACGCTAATCGCAGACCGGCTCGACCCGAGGAGGCGGGAGAGGGCCTGGTTAAGGGACGCGGGGTCCTAGCGCCCACTGTGGAACTGGGCGGAGAAAGGCGGGGCCGAGTTGGTGCTCTCGTGACGTGCGGGAGTGTTGGGGAAAAGCTCCGTGATTCCCCCTCAGGTCGGGAGATCCCGAGCCCCAGGCGGGCGTGGGCGAGGCACGCAGTCCCTTCCCCTTTCACTAGCCGATGCACACGCATCCGTCGTCACCAGCTGACCCTGATGAGAATATCCTGACACGGCCCAGCCCGAGCCCAGCGCGGCGTTCTGGACTGCGGCTCCCTCAGAGAGGGCGCGCAGGTTCGCCAGGAAACCCCCTGAGAGGTTAGCAACCACCTGGTAGGTCTCAGTCCCCCACACAGACGGTTTGGTAAAATGGGGAATTCAGAGGGGGTTCTCTAAAAGAAGTACATTGATAAAACATTATTGCCTGAGGGGGTGCATCATTGGAGCTGGACTATTGGAACCTGACGGAGGCTCCACCATTAATGGCTCTTGGCAGATTGCCTCGGAAAAACGAGGATCACCGAGGTGGAGCACCCCCTGCAAGGGGACTCCGAGGGATACGTTGTGCGGCACCCGCACTCAGCATAGTGCCTGAAAGTCTTCAATACAGGTTAGGTTGTTATTTCAGGAACGAAGGGCTAGAGAAACAGGCCCCTAAAAATCCTTAGGGCTTCAAGTCAATGTTTTCTAACATGTCCGAATAGGCCCTCCTTTTACCCGTTGCACTCCTTGCACTATATTCAGTCACTGCATCAACGTTCATTCAGACTCAGAGGAAACTGGTGGTGTGGGAGCCACACAATGTCGGCCTTCAGGGAGCTACAGTCTAGCGGAAGAAAAAAAGACGATAAGTATCTCATCATCATATTTTGAGGGAAAGCACGCCTTAAGAGGTATGAAAACAATTCTGGGACAGTAAATAGCAAAATGGCTTTTTTTTTTTTTTTTTTGAAGCCGTCATTAAAGGAAGGAAGGAGAAGTGTGAGACAGGCTCTTGGGAATTGCTTCAGGCGACATGGAAGACCTTGGGAATGTCCTGCAGTAGGAGAGAGCTTAGCTGTCGACTGAGTGGAATCCATCAGATGGGTTTTCACGGAGTCTCTTGTATAAAGGAGAGAGGTAGCCGGACCTGCCTCCTGGGCCCCTACAAGACAAAATTGGGAAGGATTTGCAGTAGGGGAAAACAGAGCTTGGGTGTTGGAATCAGTGAGGCTTGCACTATGACATCCATACTTGTAGCCCTGGTCATTGGTAGACCGAGGAACTGGATTTAAAGTTTTTTTTTTTTTTTTTTTTAAGTCTTGAGTAGAGTCTTGTTAACACTAAATAAGCCAAAATATATCCTTTCATCTTCATTTTCCTAATTGTGAAGAAGTGAAAATCACATGAAATGCACATGAAAGCCCTGGATCACTGAAAATAGTTAAAATTGTAATTTCTAAGTGTTTTGTGTCATGTTAGCATCACATACAGTTGCCTAGCCAATGCTACTTTATCTCGTATTGAATACAAGTGGCAACTATCAGTCCTTCTTTAGTCATTTTTGTACAATCTGCTACTTAGGGAGAAAAATAGGAACAATGGTAGTTTTGTTATTTATATATGCCTACAATAGCCAACAGAATCAGGACTTCAACCAACCTTTCTGTTTAGAATGCAGGCTTCCCAAGCCCAGTGTAGCCCACTATCCCACAATGGAACAGTTATTAATGTCATTAATGACAGTCATTAATGTATACATTTTTGATGCTGTATTTCCCAGTAACAAAACATGATTTTTAAAATATTTTATAGCATACACAACATGAAATTTTTCATTTTAAATCATGTTTCTGTGTACAGTCCAGTGGCACAAAGTGTGACCATACTGTGTGCAGCTTTCATTCCTGTCCATCTCCAGAGCTTTTTCTCATTTCAGATTGAAATTTTACCTATGAAACACTCATCCCCCATTCTCTCGTACCTCCAGCTGGCACCTGCTATTCTAAGACATGGAGTTTTGGGGGGAGGGGAGGTGCTAATAGTGACATTTTTCTTTTCGCCACCCCACAAGATGGCTCACAAGCTTCATCGTCAGTGGGATTATTGGTTCCAATTGAAGGGTTCAATGGACTGTACCAAATCAGTTTAGAAACCACAACACCCAAGGAAAAAAAGACAGTACATGTCTAGGTCAGATGACTACCTGTGGTACTAGTGAGAAGTACTAGTACAGGAACAGTTCATTTTGAGTGCTGAGGCACTGTTCCATATCCATCACACAGGCTCTCTGGGGTTGTAAGTGAATGCTGCATAATGATTCAGAAGCCAACCTGCCTCTCCTAGTATGTACAACTACTCTAAACTAATGCTATTAATTTCCATTAAAAACAAATAACTCCAACCCTGCATAAATTTAATTTTCCTTTTTTTTAAGGTAGAATCTTTATTTTTTTTAATATTAATTACATGCATTATGTGACACAGTTTCATAGGCTCTGGGATTCCCCCAACCCCTCCCCATACCCTCCCACCATGGTGCATTCCTCCACCTTGTTGCAATATTACAGTTCAAATCATAAATTTAATTTTCAAAATCAGTTTTCTAAAGGGAAGAAAAGAAAGCATGTTTTTTGCCACATTTCCAATAACCAAGCATTCTATAACGTATTGAAGCTCAAAACAAGATCAAGATTTTAAATTTAAAAAGAATGTTTACTTAATTTTATTGGAAATGCAGAAAGAGAGAGTGAGTGAGAAGTCTTCCATCTGCTGTTCATTTCCCAAATGCCTATAGTCCTTAGGGCTGGGCCTTGCAAAGCTGGGAAGTCACTGTAGGTTACGCATGTGGGTGGCAGGGTCCCAAGGACTTGACCCCATCACACAAGCGATGAGAATTGGAATCTGGGAGCACATTAGCAGGAAGCTGGATCCAGAGAGGGTGGAATTAAGACCAGGTCCTCTTCCACAGGAAGAAGGCATCCCAAATAGCAACAACTTCTGTGGCAAACGCCCACTCCAAGATCAAGATTTTGAATCAAGATACTTTTGAGTCAGCAACTTTTTTCAAAACACACCCTGGATGAAGCACTTCAATTCCATTAAACCAAAAGCCAAATATCTGTGTTAAATGAGACTCTTCCTGTTGCCACTTTGTGGTTGCATGAGGCAGTGGTAGTATAAAGGAATAGAAGGAAACTTTAGGGAGTGGTGGACATATTCATACCTTGATTTAGGATGATGGGCTCAAAGGTATATACATATGTCAAATTTATCAAAGTGCACATTGCAAATATGTGTCAATTATGCCTTAATAAAACTATAAATATCTTTCTCCAAAGTTCAGTTAGAAACCTCTCATTCTTTCCACATTGGACAGATTGAGCTTTTCATTGGTTTTCAATGTTGTTAAACTTATTGTCAATTTCTCTTTGGTG